AGTTATTCTTCCTTTTGTATGTTACTAGGTGGAATAGCACGCTGAGACTGAACTGAGATATAGTAGGATCCCTAACTCAATCTATATCACAAAGTACATTAAGTCTTCTGATCAGGGAACACTGAGTCACAGGAGTGCCCTGAATTCAGGTTGACTTCTTGGGCAATGCCAGACGGAGCATGTTGGTGATCGCCTTATGGGAGCCTGGGGACAATGGCTTTCTATGATCTGGGTGCTTCTAAACTTAAAAACTTCTAAACTTAAAAACATGGCAGCATATGTCTGTAATCACACACTGGGAGTTTGAATCTGTCTTGAAATGCAGTTCCCATTGTGAGGCATTAGGAAGGTGGAAGAAACATTTTTTAGATTTACTGTTGAGATCTGGGGCCTCTGGGAGCTGAATCAATGGGCCAAAATAAACCTCTTGTTTTATAAAGTAGCCTGCCCCAGGCATGTTGTTGCAGAAATGAAAAAAATAGGCAAAACATTAAGTGAATTGTGTTTGCAGATGTTGAAGATCTTTTTGTTGTAACAACAACAAAAGTCAGGCTGGCTCTGAAGGCATGGACCTGTCATCCCAGCTCCTCAGGGGGCTGAGGCACGATGGGCTCAGTACCTATCTGGGTTACAGAGTGAGTTTAAGGTCACCCTGGGCAACCTTTTCTCAGAATGAAGAGGGAGGGGGAGGGAGAGGGGGGAGAGGTGGCGGGTAGGAGCATACTTTAGTGGAAGAGCACTTGCCTAGCATGTGCAAGGTCCTGGAGTCAATCCCCAGTACTGAAAAACAAACAACAAAAACCCTTACAGTCAATCTGAAGTCTTGGAAAAGATCCAAACTAATATCCAAAGGAAAGTGAAAACACATGACAGGAGCTGGGAGAACCCTGTGGGAAAGTTGCAGTGGCAGAGATGGACAAAAGAGAAGGCTTTCTTTTAGTTAAGAGAACTCAAAAGAGGCTCAGCAGCTAAGAGTGCATACCACTCTGGGAAGACTTGAGTTTGGTTCTTAGCATGCTGGTTCCGAAGCTCACAACCATCTGGAACTCCAGCTCTGATGCCCTCTTCTGGCCTCCTTGTGCAGTGCACTCATGTGTGCATACCTACACACACACACACACACACACACACACACACACACACAAAGTTCTGAAGTTAAAACATTAGTAACCAGGGCTTTTGAGAATACCTTTCTAAGCCTCCCCTGGAAAAATCACAGTATTATTTTCTGATGCAAGTATTATTATTTCCTGGAGCATACCCGTGAGAGAGTACCATTTTCTGTGTTCCAAGGACCCCAAAATCCTGTGAAGGCAGTTCTGATGGGGACAGATAGATCCCACTGGTTCCATGTGGTGATTCTGTAGACACATCATTCAGGAAAAGTCATTGTCTTAGACTTTTGTTTCTAGTGCAGGAGGCAGTCTAAATAGTGGATCTGGAGTTGTACAGCTTTGTGTATATGTGTGTGCTGGTGCACATACATTTTGTGTATGTGTGCATATGCATGAGCACAGTGTATGTATAGAAGCCAGAGACAGGTGTCACATCAGTCACTTCCACCTTGTTATTTTGGGACGTATTTCTCACTGAACCTGGGATTCTGTGATTAAGCTTGACCGCCTTGTCAGTGAGCCCCAGCAATCCTCCCTAGCCCTAGGCTTACAAAGGTACTGCCATGTGTGGATGTATGTGGGTGCTAGGGATTGACCTCAGGTACCAAAGGGGCCATCTCACGTTTTGTTCTCCTGAAAGCTTTCACAAAAAGCTAATCCATAAATTTGATTAGCATCAGCAGTAAAGGGGTGGTTTGCATTCCCCTAGCAGCAGAGCCAGCTTTCAACGTCTGAGTGCAACCCACCAAATGCATTTATTTGCCAGAGAGCAGGGTGGTGAAGCCCCTTGCATGGTGTGGTTGATTATTTAAAAGAATGCCAAGAATTTTGGCATCCTTTCAGACCACGGCTGAAAGCATGGGAGAGAACTTGTGGCTGGCCGAGGTAGTTCCTAGAACAGGGCACCTGTGTCCTGCTGTTTATTTACATATGAGGATCTGCTGGGGCAGTGGAGTAAATGGTCAAACTGTATTCTCCAGGCAGAAGACAGAAGGTAAATTGGGGGGATGCTTGGCGGAATGGGCTCTGCTTCAGGTAATCTCTTGTAATGATGATTTAAAAATCCAACATGTGGGGAGAAACTGTGTTCAGGGACTGACGTTCCATGATGGATAGGACCCTGGCACCCATTTCTTACCCGTAAGCTGGAGAGAGTAACTTCAGAAGGTCTGCAGGGTTGTTTGGTAAAGTGTTCAGGGAGTATGCTTTGACGAGAGGAGTGGCCCTGCAAAAATAACGGCTCACATTATCGTGAGTGACTGCAACACACTGTCCCAGGGTTCTGACGCTCTTTTGTAGAGGTTCCCGAGATGGAGCCCCAGAAAATTAGGTTGAGGTGTGGATCTGCATGTGGTGGTACAGACAAGAAATTCTAGCCCTGGAAAGACCAAGGTAGAAGATTCTAGGTTCGAGGCTAGCTTAGGCTACAAAGTGAGACTCTCTCAAAAAGCCAAACAAAATCAAGCCTAGGATGTGTTACTTTGCCCCCCAAAAGAATACCAACTGTCAACTCTTAAGTCTAGTATTCTCTGTCTCCTTCTCCCTCTCTCTCTTTCTCTCCCACTCTCTCTTCCTATCTCTCTCCCTTTCTCTCTCTCTCTCTCTCTCTCTCTCTCTCTCTCTCTCTCTGTGTACAGATATGCATGTAAGTGTATGTGCTTATGTGTGGAAGCCAGTGAACAACTTTTGAGTGTTCCTTAGTAAGCTGTCCACTTTGTTTTTTAGACAGGATCTCTCAGTGGCCTGGGGCTTACCAGTTTAGCTAGGCTCATATGTGGGTGCTGGGAATAGAGCCCTGAACCTCATGCTTGGACAGGAAGCACTTCACCAACCAAGCCAACTCCTTGGGCCCAAGTCCAGTATATTCTGATATGAATTTTCTTAAAAGATTTTTCAGCTATTTTCAGTGATTAACAGGCTATAATATTTTTTCCAATCATGTTTTAAAAGTGATTTGCTTTGTTGGTCTCTTAATTGAAAGTTTATTTTCTCCTAAAATCAAGTTTTTTTTCCTTTAACTATAACCTTGTCTCTAGTGTTGTACATACAGTCCCCTTGGTAGGTCATTCTTTCCAGAAAGGGAAGAGAGAGACTGACAGTGTGCTGCTCTCAGATGGACTTCCTATTTTTTTTGTGCCCCAAATGGAGACACAATAATTCTATATATTTGTTAGATATGATGCGGCATTTAAGTTCATGTTGTATCAGGATCAGGTCAGGGTAATTGCCATATCTACCACTTCTGGTTCTTCTCAGTCTTTGTGTCGAGAACATGTGAGACCCTCTGACTGTGGTGGAGAAAGTACACACTTTGTACTTCCATCTTGAATCCTTAGATAACTGTGGAAGAGTCTCTCCAAATGCACACACGGATTTACCATGACCTTGTAGCTCAAGTCAATCAAGCTGGGTTTTGAACTCTGACTCAACCATGACTCTAGGACTGGGTCAGGTCTGTAGACAGATTTTGTGCATTGCTTCCTCCTTCAGCGGAGTGGTCCCAGTGTGATGGTCTGACCCCCTCTGCCACTTTTTCTTTGGTATGTTAGATGCCAAGCCTGTTAGTGTAAGATGTTCCATGCAGTCACTCTGTGCCCCAACAGGTTAGGGGGCTGCCTTGGGGTCAGTTTCTTCCTTCCTTCCTTCCTTCCTTCCTTCCTTCCTTCCTTCCTTTCTCTCTCTCTCTCTCTCTCCCTCTCCGCTCTCTCTCTCTCTCTCTCCCTCTCTCTCGCTCTCTCTCTCTCTCTCTCCCTCTCTCTCGCTCTCTCTCTCTCTCTCTCCCTCTCTCTCGCTCTCTCTCTCTCTCTCTCTTTCTGTCTTTCTTTCTTTCTTTTATGCACAGCATCTCACTGTGTGGCCAAGGGTGACTGAATTCCTGATCTCTCAGGCAGGTGCTACCATGGCTGCTTTTGTGTAGGTGAGGAAGGAACCCCAGGGTTTGTGTGCTAGGCAAGCACTCTCCCAACTGAGCCACATCCCCGGCCGTGTTTTTAGAGATACGACATATTAAAAATACTAAACTAATGCAGAGACCTCCATGACGAACCGGACAATAAGACTTTAAATAAAAGCTGGCTAAGTATGATGTGAAACCACACTGGAAGTCCAGATGAAAGGGAAAATGGAGACTACTGGTGCTTTATTTATAATGTTGGCATTTGCTTGTCATGAATTTTCTTTGTCTGGGACTCAGGCTAGGCAAAGCATTATAACCCTCACACATCCCTAACCCCTTTGTGGATTCCATATATATATATATATATATTTAATTTATTTAAATTAGAAACAATCTTGTTTTACATATCAATCCCAGTTTTGTCTCCCTCCCATCCTCCCATATTCTTTGAGCATTAATTTTGAAATAAAAAAACTCACATGAAGATATTTATCTTGCTACCTGCATATCTGGACAACTCTTGGTGTGATTGTCCTGGTCCTGGTCTTGCTTTACAATCTTCTGTATGTGCCGCACAAGGAAGATGCTGAAGATGCTGCTGTATAGGAGCTTTCAGATCCATAGAATGACCTTAACTGCATCAGGGGAGAGGAAAGAGTCGATGCTGAGGTGGGGTCCATGGGAGGTGGGATGCAGAGAGACTCAAGGGCCAATGGACAAACAGGGACATAATAGAGTGCAATAGAAATGGCAAGTCCCTCTCTGAGCCTCATTGAGTTGTTTTTGTTTTGTTTTGTCTGAACAACAGAAGGAATAGTGACTCCCACACCTCAGTAGACTGAGTCTATTGTGACAGTCCTTAGTACATGTTGGTTTGGTTACAATGTCGGTTATGACTTTGCAGTGTATATTTACAATAATATCCTCATATGCACCATCTGCCTGGGACAATCTTTGGGTGGTGACACTGTCTGAACTGTGTTTTGTAGATATCCATGACAGCGATGGGAGCTCAAGCAGCAGCAACCAAGGCCCCAAGAGCACAGCCAAGTGGGCGTCCTCCTTGGAGACTCTTCTGGAAGACCCAGAAGGCGTGATGAGATTCAGGGTTTGCCTTTTCATTGATCATTGGAACTGATGCAATAGGAAAAGCGTAGAGATGTGTGTGGTGGGGGTGGGAGCACAGGGGCCAGGACAATGTTTAACACTGTCTGCTCCAGCTAGAGACTAAGAACTGCTTATCTCTCACGACCACCTTGGACTTTCAAAGGAACATGCAGCCTGTCTCTGGTTTTCATTTAGTTGGGGGTGGGGATGGAGCGATGGGGAAGGATGGTCTGCTAGTGTGGGATCTGGAGGACGGGTTTCCAGGACTGGAAGGGATGATCTGGGTTTCTCTGGCATGAAGGTTTGTTCTCTCCAGTCTCAGACACTCTGGGCGCATCACTGCTGGTGAGAGAGGCTGGATGGTAACTGACAAAGTGAAGCAAGGGGAAGGATTTCTCCAAAGGATGGCTGATGGACAGGAAGGGATGATAATGGACAGGAAGGGCTGATGATGGACAGGAAGGAAGGGCTGATGGACAGGAAGGGCTGATGGACAGGAAGGATTGATGGACAGGAAGGACTGATGATGGACAGGAAGGACTGATGATGGACAGGAAGGAAGGACTGATGGACAGGAAGGGCTGATGATGGACAGGAAGGAAGGACTGATGGACAGGAAGGGCTGATGGACAGGAAGGATTGATGGACAGGAAGGACTGATGATGGACAGGAAGGACTGATGATGGACAGGAAGGAAGGACTGATGGACAGGAAGGGCTGATTGATGGACAGGAAGGGCTGATGATGGACAGGAAGGGCTGATGGACAGGGAAGGGCAAGGAAGGACTGATGGACAGGAAGGGCTGATGATGGACAGGAAGGGCTGATGATGGACAGGAAGGGCTGATGATGGACAGGAAGGGCTGATGATGGACAGGAAGGGCTGATGATGGACAGGAAGGGCTGATGATGGACAGGAAGGGCTGATGATGGACAGGAAGGGCTGATGATGGACAGGAAGGGCTGATGATGGACAGGAAGGGCTGATGATGGACAGGAAGGGCTGGTGATGAACAGGAAGGGCTGATGGACAGGAAGGGCTGATGGACAGGGAAGGGCTGGTAATATCAAGAAACAACTTTTTCTTCCAGTGTGACTGCTGCTGCCCATTGGTGGGTCACACATGAATTCTAATACTGATCCTTGGCAAGCTGACTTTTTAAGTGATGGGCCAAGTGCCGCTGGTCCCCACAGAGCTCCTGGGCTGGCGAGTAGAACTGTGAGCATCATCTAGATGCTTGAATGCAACTGCAGAGCTGACCGAGCGCTAACTGCTCACCAGCAGTCCCAGAAAGCACACCTCCAACTTAAAATGGTCTCCATCATTGTGATTTGGACAGGCTTAATATGTTTTCTTTTCTTTTGTTTAAAAAAAAGGGCCTGGCTTTGGAGGAATGCACTTTGTTTAAACAGTGTCTGGAAGGGGCTGATATATCTTCCACTTTAATTTACTTTTTGGTAATTTATTGTCAGCTTAGAAATGCGAATAGATTCCCTGCTTCATTTTTATTCTGCCTTGCAGTGTCAAAACCATTAAGGTGAAATGCGTAAGAAATTCTTGCTTCAACATTAAACATGTTCTTTGTTTTTCCGGGTGGAGTTTTTTCAAGAGATGATTAAACCAGGCTCCTCTGTCTGTTTTTGCCTTGTCATCTTCTAAAGGAAACTTGTGTTTTCTTAAGGTCGAACACTATGTGATTCCCTTCCCCCTTTTTTATCTATAGGAATTTTTGAAAAAGGAATTTAGTGAAGAAAACGTCTTGTTTTGGCTAGCGTGTGAAGATTTCAAGAAACTGGAGGACAAGAAGCAGGTACCTCTCTGCCTTCTGCTTTTGCAATGAGTTTTTTCTCCCATTATGCGGTCACAGCCGCCTGTTGCCTAGGTTTGGGAACTGCCCAGACTATCCTGACTCATACTAGATCTGAGGGAAAATTTCAACTTCCAACTGGTACCTTGTGCTGACCAAATATTAGTCGTTTTTTAAAAAAGGGCACGTTAGCTGGGCATTGGTGGCACACACCTTTAATCTCAGCACTTGGGAGGCAGAGGCAGGCAGATCTCTGTGAGTTCAAGGTCAGCCTGGTCTCCAGAGCGAGTGCCAGGATAGGCTCCAAAGCCACAGAGAAACCCTGTCTCGAAAAACCAACAAATAAATAAATAAATAAACAAACAAATAAATAAATAAATAGGGCACGTTAGCCATTTCTAAAGAGAGCTGTTCAAGCAGACCAATATTCAAAGTAGATGTAAACATTTGTCATTTATAGCTTGTCATTGTGTTAACTGTTTTCTTCATACATCAGTCATGAGGGTGCTCCCCGGGGTGACACTGGTGTTGTCAGACATGAGCCAAACGATTGATTAGCTGATATGTGACCATGAAAGCACACCATGCATCAGGTAGTTCCCAAGTCTGTGCTTCTTTGTGAGCCGTGAGTAGCTGTCAGGCATTCTGTGTAGGAACTTTCTGACTTCCCCAGAAGGTGTTTGTCTTGTCAGAGGTGGCCATTAGTCCCCATGCAGCCACCGAAGGATGGATGTGAGACAAGTGGACTGGGTGGGGTTCTGAAATTGCCTCTCCATCTTTATAGAGGACTACCAAAGGCCGTAAGTCCTGGGAAAGACTTTGGATTCTGGGCAAGGCTGTTGAAGTGAGGGGTGGGGGAGGGGGGTTTCTTGATGTCTTGTCCTGCTTCCAGCACTTGCACTGCTCACTGAGGGTCCTAAGGGCTGTGCTTGCTGTCTGCTTCAGTCTTCAGCTCACTGCTGGGAGTGCTCCAGGCCTCAGCTTGACTACTTTTGCACCTCTCTGTCCCTGGGTTCTGGGATAGCCCTCTTCCCAAAGAATCTTCTCCCATGATTAGACATTTGGTGAGGATTTAATCTAGGGTGAAGTTCATGTCAGGCAAGCACTTTACCACTGAGACATGTGCCCAGCCCTTGTACTGTCTTTTGAGACAGCGTCTTACTAAGTAGGCCTTGAACTCACTCTTGACATGTCACTGCATCTGAGTAGCTATGATTATAGGCCTGTGTCTGCAATTCTAAAGTGAAACCATCTAATTTGTCAATATTAGAACTAATCTTAGTTTATAACCTCATAGTGAAGAGACACTATGACCAAGGCAACTTATACAAGAAAAGCATTTAATTGGGGGAGTTGCTTACAGTTCAGAGGGTCATATATGATCATCGTGGTGAGAAGCTTGATGGCAGGCAGGCAGGCATCAGTAGCTGAGAGTTTGCATCCTGATCTGAGGCTGAAGGCATGGAGTATGACACCCACACACACACACACACACACACACACACACACACACACACACACACACACACACGGGGTTGGGGGGGAGACAGACACAGAGAAAGACAGAATATGAGAGACAGGTCCTGGCATGGGCTTTTGAAACACATCCCCACCAGGGACACACCTTCTCCAACAAGACCACAACTCCTAACCCTTCCTGAACAATTCACAAATCAAGAACCAGACACTCAAATAGATGAGTCTATGGAGGACAATCTCATTGAAACCACCATACTTGCCCCCCAAATAGAACGGAATCTCCAGGGCCAGAAGCCGTGAACTGTTTGCAGACAATAGTCTGGGAAAGCCACCTCATTGCTCTTTTTCAAGGCTTGCTCCCTGGGACAGAGCAGCCTGTGGCCTTCCTCTTTGGAATGGGCGAGAAGTGATCTGAGATGGGCTCCTCGGGCTCGTGTCTCCTAGGCTTGTTTAGCCCTACTAGGAATGACTGTGGCTTCTGTGTCTTTCTGCTGTTTTCTCCCCAGAGCATACTGGTTGGAGAAGGGACTTAGTAAGGAAGTGGTAACTGGCACTAGCATTGAAAGATAGGCTTCAGGGTTGAGGTCCCCTGGAAGGAGCACACACTGTCCTCCTCTGCCTCCAGCACTGAAGACAGGCCTGAAGAAGCACTGCTGGTGGCAGACCTTGAGCATCTGGTGTGACCAACATCGTACCACAAGTATCTAGCTCAGAGTCAGGTGGCCGAGTGGATGTCCTTCATCTGCCCTGTTCTTTGAAGGTCAGGCATGGGGAAGACCACAAGAGAATAACTCTATCCTTGTGGCCCAGACAGAAAGTCAAGGCCCTGGATAGAGCTGGGCTTACACCGTGCTCTGGAGCCACCCAGCCATCCTCCTGCACACCTTCCCTGCGTGTATCTGTTCTTGTGGCCTGCCCAGTCCTTGCAGAGTGTCAACTCGGTGCCAGGCATTGTGAAATGCCCTGGAGACCCCCACCTTATGGACAAACCAGCTAAGCTTCTTTAAAAGCTCGGCAAGTCTGATGCATGTAGACACAGGAAGTGTGAAACCTAAGGACACTCTGGCAGTGAAGTCACTGAGGTCTACTAGGAAGTGAGTTGTGGCCTGAAACCTGCAATGGTGGTTGGGGAAAGGGAACCGGTGACTCTAGAAGCAGGAACAGCCTGTGGGAAGATGAGCTTGCTGACAAGAGCAGGGATGGAGGGTCCTGTTTGCTGGTGAGGCCACTGGGCTGTGTTTGAAGCCAAGGGTGTGTGTGGCCAAATCTGGCAATTTGGGTGCATGGCAAGAAGGGGACCTCATGCCATGGCCCTGGAAAGTCGTATGTGGCTGATGTAAGATTGGGTGGCATTGCTCTGTTATATACTATGGAAATCTAGACTCAGCAGCCCTTCTCTTCACGCCCATGCCCAACACCTATCACAGGGTCTGGAAGGCTTATGTCCCTAAGTCTGGAATATACCCAGTGGTATAATGAATGCTGTGTTGATCCCTCCTCTGCCCAAGGAACAAAGATGCTTGTCTCAAGCTTCCCTTTGGAATATCACAAGTCAGACCTCCATCTTCTGCATTTCTCTTAGCACTTTTATCTTCCAAGCTCTGAAAGAACAGCTCACCAAGCCCAAATTTCCAGAGTCCTTCCTTCTACAGTCCTCCACAAAACTACATGGTCAGGTCTGTCCCAGCAATACCTCACTCCTGGTGCCAATGTCTGTGCTAACTAGGGTTCCTATAGCTTCAAAGAGACAAAAGCAACGTGGAGAGAAGGCTTATTTGACTGCACTTCCATATCAAAGTGCATCACTGAAGGAAGGCAGGAAAGGGACTTAAATGGGGCAGAACCCTGGAGGCAGGAGCTGGTGCAGAGTCCACGAAGGTGTGCCACTCACTGGCTTGCTCATCGAGGCTTGCTCAGCTGGCTTCCTTATAGCACCCAGGACCACCAGCCCAGGGGTTGCACCACCCACAATGGGCTGTGCCCCCCCCACATCAATCACTAATTAAGAAAATTAAGCCTGGTCTATAGCCCAATCTTATAGAGGCCTTTTATCAATGGAGACTCCCTCCTCACAGATGACTGTAGCTTGTGTCAAGTTGACACAAAACTAGCCAGCTCAATGCTGCAGGAGACAGTGGAGCCATGGGTGACACTGGCATGTCTGGGTCTTGGTCTGAGCCACAGCACTGAGCCTTCACACTGCTGCCATTCACAGATGCAGGGGTGTGAGTTGAAAGGTCAGTGGTTAACGTGCATCGCTTTCTATGAGCCATTTAAATGAGGTACATATATCTGCCAGTCTCAAGGTAGCTGCAAGTGGACACATGGATTTCAGGGTCTTGGAAGAAGAAAAGATAGAAAAGTTAGGCTGCCGCATGTTGCATCAGCGTGTAGAGCCAACCTCTGGCTCCGGGCCCACAGGCTCTCCTGGCTTCTGCTGCTGGGGAGGTAAAACTAGGCAATCAGCTCTGAGTAACTAGTTTCCAGGAGTGGAGGAGGAGGCAGGCCCTGCAGACAGCACCTAACTGAATTTCACAATCAAACCTATCACATCTGCCCCAAAGGGAGCGTGGGAGGCTTTATCTCTCTGCAGTCAACTGAGGCAGCTGTGAGCTTGATGCAAATCAGGCCTTCAAACCTCTGCTAGTTTAAGGACAACTTTGCTGATTTGTTTTTTTTTTTCTTTTTTCGTGTGTGTGTGTGTGTGTGTGTGTGTGTGAGAGAGAGAGAGAGAGAGAGAGAGAGAGAGAGAGAGAGAGGAAACAGAGAGACAGAGAGTGAGACAGAGAGAGACAGAGAGAGATTGGAGAGAGATTGTGTATGAGGTTTTTTTTTTTTTTTTTTTTTTTTTAGGTGTGTGGGCACGTATGTGTGGGTGCTCATGTACATGTGAGAACATGCATGTGGAGGCCTGAGATTGATGTGAAGAATTAACTTCCATCACTCTCCACTTTAGTCATTGAGACAGGGTCTCTCAACCCCAGAGCTTGTTCATATGGCTAGTCTCACTAGCCAGCTTGCCCTGACTCCTCTTTCCCAGGCTAAGATTACAGGGAAAGCCACCACATGTAAGTTTCTAGGGATCTGAATTCGGGTGCTCACACCTGTGTGGCAATGGCTTCACCACCGAGCCTCTCCTCAGTGACTCTGAGCATCTTGTATAATTTACTTCTCCATTGTTTATAGTCTGTCTGTCTGTCTGTCTCTCGTGCTTATGAGTCCAGGCATCTTTGTTTTTCTTCCTCTCCATAGTATCCAAACACTTAGACCAGGCACACACTGTGTTTCTTCCTCTCTGTGGGCTGAAGCTGTGTCTTCCACTCAGGCTGGACTCCCACCTTGTCCCGAAACCCTTGACCATGACAATGGGCTCGAAAGATGAGCACATACATTCTAGCCTGCTGGCACTTTCACTGTTAGAAGCCTCAAAGAGTAGTACAGCCTGCATCTTGTCTTCCCTGGTCTGTGCTCCACTGTGACCTGGCAGGCTATTGGACAAAGCAGGGCCATCCATGGCTTAGGAA